TTAAAAATAGTAGAAGTATCTTTTCTCGATGGACCGTAATTTTGGATTGTTCTTTCATCCAGGGTGTATCATATGCCGTAGAGATGGCTGATGGGATTATTTCCTTCACCTGTAATGCCACCTGGTGGCTGTTTCATTACAAGTTATTGCTGCATGGAAAATAGAGTTTGATAAGATCACTTTATTGGCCATATACAATTTCTTGTATTAGGAATTTGTCTTTTTCACATACCCCAACTTGCTATGAGACGCACAGACAGAGAAGCTTGGGGTCAGAGCGCAGGGTCAGCCATTTATACGGCGCCCCTGGAGCAGTTGGGGTGAAGGGCCTTGCTCAGGGGCCCAATGCAGTAGGATTCCTCTGCCGGCCAAGGGATGTGAACCAGCAAGATGTGCAGGGTAAGTGCACAATATGGAGCTCTGGTTAGGACACTGCAGTTGCACACTTGAGCTAGGTAATTAACTCAAACTGCCCCCAGTAAAGTGCCCTACTGTAAAAGTGGCTATCCCTCAAATAGTCATTGTATATGAGAAATTAAATCTAATTCGTTAAATAAAACAGATTGGAAGAAAACAAGCAGAAGTTAATGACATCAGCCAGTGGAGTGACACTCACTCTGTATTGGGATATGACCTTATTTAACTGTGGAAGATCTTCAGAATTTTGGTCCTCCTTTATTGTTGTCGGCTTTCTGATCTTCTGAGGAGATGCATGGTTCTGCACTAGGATAGGGTCAATACTAAGACAGCCCTTGATTAGGGCAAGCAGCCATATCATCCTGGCAACTCACTGAAGCTCAACAGGTGTGAGCCTGGGCAGCATCTGGATGGGAGACCTCCTGGGAAAAACTAAGGTTTCTACTGGAAGTGGGACAGTAGTGGGAGCTCACCTTGCTGTCTGTGTGGGTCCTAATGCCCCAGTATAGAAATGGGGACACTATACTGTAAAAAACCACTGTCCTTCGGATGAGATGCAAAACTGAGGTCCTGACTCTCTGTGGTCATTAAAAGTCCCAGGGCGTTTCTCGAAAAGAGTAGGGTTGTAACCCCCGCGTCTTGGCCAAATTTTCCCCTGGCCTTTACCAATCATGGCCTCCTAATAATCCCCATCTATGAACTGGGTTCATCACTCTGCTCTCCTCCCCACTGAGAGCTGGTGTGTGGTGAGCATACTGGCGCACTATGGCTGCTGTCGCATCATCCAGGTGGGGCTGCACACTGGTGGTGGTGGAGGGGAGACCCCATTACCTGTAAAGTGCTTTGAGTGGAGTGTCCAGAAAATGCTATATAAGTATAAGCAATTTATTATTATTATTATTATTATTATTATTATTATTATTATTACTGGATTCCAGTACGAGCATGTGGGTTGGGGCAGCAGTGCAAAGCAGTGGATAACGTTCTGAACTCTTATCTGAAAGGTGGCAAAAACAAATCGACTGTGTGTTCAAGCCTGCACCAGAAGGATTGGCTCATCTCTTCATGCCATCAGTGCAGTCTGGAGTCCTGCAGGGACAGCTGCCCAGGAGAGAGCTGGCACAGTTCTCCTTCACCAGACACCTTCAGTGCCACCCATTGTTCCCACGCAGCTGGAGCTGTGAGCTTTGTACAGATACTGCTCTCCTCTCGCCAGCCTGCCTTGACACCGGGCAGCTCAGCTCACATCTCAGAGACCTCATAGGAAGCTGACAAGAAGAGCCATTTGTTCTTAATTGGGAACAAAAGGGGTTGACTGGAATCTTCCCAGGTAGACACAGAGCAGGTGGTCTGTGTGTTGAGGATTATTTATGGATCAGCTTTCCCCAGCTTTCATCTGCTCTGTGCACAAAAAAAACTGTTTTATTTAGTTAACTGAAGCTGGGGCTGGATGGATGCCTCACTGAGTTAGCGGTGATTTGTTTCATAACAGGGCAGCGTAAAGAGCCGTGGGTGTTAATTCAGCCCCTGATGTTTCTTCAGAGGAGGGCCTGCAGTAGACAGCGCTGCAGATCACCCCAAGTGGAGAACTGTATTTTGAAACAGTGCTGTATTTCTGGAGTGTTCTGGTGCTCATTATTAATGTGACAGCCAATTTCCAAAGAGCAGAGAAGTCCTGAATTGAACAGTTTAACTAATCTCTCTCTAGTCCTGGGATATGAGGAATGACATAGGGATAACGGTAAGAAAGTCTTATAATTTACTGTTAATATAAACACGCTTCAACGCAATACATCAATGTAAAAGACTCATGGCTTTGGGTATTCTCATTGACTGGCAGTGACACACACCTGTGTGCATTGCACATGCACCTACAGTACATCTCATACATTGACAGACAAACAGATCCACACCTACACAAACAGCTTTACTTGCTCTTCACTGTGTACAGGCATGCATAAGCTCAGGTACATGTGTATGTTTTGCATTCATTGTATTTTTAGGACCTAGGCCTTCTTCTGTGGTTTTGTATACATGAAGTCTTTTTGAAAGGTTATTTCTATTATGTCTGAATCCCATGCACCTCTCCTGGCACATGTAAGGCATTCAGGACTCGTTGACTGTTTCAGCAGGAAGGCTGTCTTAATGGTGTGGTTTAAGACTGTGCATTGGGGGGAAACCAGGGTTTGCAGTCTGTCTCCACAAATGCTGTGCTCATTAATGTTTCCACATGAGAAAGGGAACCCTTGCAAACTTCTCTCTCTTGGTAACAAGGGATGGTGTGAAAAGTGCTTGTCACTGTGA